GAAAAAAAATTAAGTTGCAGCACAACTCTTAAAACTATGGTTTGTAAGGAAATATAGCAAAATATCGGTTTTTTTATATCATTTATTTTGTGATATTGTATCAATTCTCACAAACACTGTATCAACCTTTGTGTTTAAAACTCCAAACACTAGATAACAGTGCTGTAAACATAAACTGAGGGCTATGATGTTGGATGTTACACTATGACAGATATGAGATTACAATGTATCGCCTTGCTTACAGTAATATCCTAATATATTGAATGGCAACCCCTGTATCGTGATATAGATCCAATCACCAGATACTTGCCAATACACAGCACTACTTAAGACACTCACACTTGCTTGTTCACATTAGTGCTGAGACACAATCACTTAACACTTCTCTGCTTTCCTCTGAAAGACACAAATCTTTTTCCTCATGCTGAACCTACATGAAAGTTCTGCTCAAGTTCAAAGACATCACTTGTTCACTTTGGGGGGAAAAAAAACTGCAAATGTGGAGCCCTGGTGCCACATTTATCAAATTATTATTACTCTTGATCTTCACTCTGATGTAGAGCAGCTCCCATTTCTCAGTGACAGTGTCCAAACATTTTTGAAAACACTGTAAATTCAGCTTTTAGGAGTTAGATCTTTTAGTTCTCCCCTGCAATCAAATGGCTGAGAATGTCACTATGAGAAATAACAGCTCATCTCTCAGTCACAGGTAACACATCATAGCAAATGTACATGGGTGAAAAGGACTTAAATCAGAGCCCAAGGTTTCCAAAAATGCACCTGTTACATTTTGGACAGTCATAATAGTTGATTTGACTAGAATTTGTTCCACTGTAAAATGCCCCTGGGGTCACAGGGTCGGGGATGTGTAAGAGTCGATACTGAGGAATAAATCAGGCATATGTTAAGCTAAATCATCATCATCATCATCGTCATCATCACATCAAATAAATGCCCATATTTCTGTACCGACCACTAACCACATACACAAACCACAGCGTGAACAACACTGGGAGACTTGATCTATTGGTTGTGCGCTGAAAACCTCACAACTTACATCAAAGAGGGTGGCATACGCGAGAGGGTGGCACTTTTTTTTTTTTTTAACAAAGTCCAACTCTTCTGAGTAATCTCGCAATGTTGCTCTGCAGGTTGGACTGGTGGAGACGCAGACCCTAAGGCTAATTTCTAAAACTCAAGTCTTATCGTGGCAGCAGCTTTTCTCCACTCTGAGGTTATTTCTGATCAACTGGCAGCAGAAAACCTGGATGTAAACACATGTAATATTGCAGTATAATTTCCCCGATAACTTTGAATCCAGACCACTCGAGCATTTTGCTAGAGGAAAGCGCTGCAGGACCGTCAGTGGCAGGCTGACCTAGCGGTGAGAGAGATTGTCTTTCTATCAGAAAACACAGGTTCAAGTGCTTTGGGGGCTGTCCAGTAGCTGCACCGCTGAAGGGGTCAATGAGAAAAGACACTAAATCCAAACCAAGAGGTGGCATGTTCACCTGTGCTGGTAGGTAGAAGAGTTTCTCTAAAGTATCACAATATGTTTCATTATGTTAAATTAATAAATGCACAGACGCCATCAGTCTAAAAAAAAAGGTGTGAAAAAACACCCCAGTAGATATATAACATTTTATTCACCTGTATCTCACAGATGTTATGATGGCTAAGAACTATATATAGCTATTTAACTTAACTTTTAACCCTTTTAAGGCTGAAAAGTTTGGGAGCATACTCTCCCCTGATGAAGAGGCAGTGAGTTTGCACTTTTGTTTTTACACTATTTGTAGATTTAATCAAACAATCCTGCAGGGACTTGATGTACAGTTCTCCCTGTGATATTTGCACAAGCACCACTGACTTGAGCGTTTATTCTTTAAGGGGGGAGAGAGAAATGCATGTTCAGTTTAAAAACGCAAGCAAGACTGGACAGTGTGCAGGTTTATTTATAAAGACAAATCTTAATGCAAGTTAGCACATCCAATTTTGGAGGAGAAAAAAAAAACCCTCCACGTCCTGTTCTTACCTGGACCATCTGATCCTGAGAGAGGTGAATTCAGCTTAGGTCGCTTTGCAGAAGGTCCCTCCAGCAGATTGTCAGCCATCCTGGTCGGCAAAATTTTATGAATGGATGATGCAGGGGAAAAAATTACAGCAGGATCCGTCCAAGTTGTAGGCCTCTGGCTCGTGAATAACTGGTAACTTTTCCTTAACGTTACGCGTAAAGGAGCAATTTAACAGTTTTTTTTTTTTTTTTTTTTTTCTCTTCTCTGGACTGGCAGACTGGCGAAATGCTGCCTGGAGAAAAAGGAGGTTTCAAAAGAAAGGCAACAGCGCCACGCTCCGCCGCCGAAGATCAACCCATGATAATCCAACACCCAACACCCACATAATTATCCTCAATAATTACGTCCAAAAATTATTTCGGTTCGAGAAAAATAAATAAAAATCAATCATAAAATATTACAAAAGGCGTAAGCAAATTCCTTTCTCCGCAGATCGCCGGTTTCACGTCTGTACAGAATCATTTTTTTCGCAGTCCAAAGGAGCAGCCATAAAATCTATCTCGGGCTTAAATAAAAAGAACAAAATTCAAAAAATATTTTCTATGAGGTGGATTATTTTTCTCGTCGCTGTCTCCCGGTAAATACAGCGTCTCGGGACGGAGATACGGCGAGAAGCGGCGCTCTCTAAAAGGGAAATCAAATATACAGTGGGCTTACGAGACGATAAAAACCCACGTAATCCTCACATGTTTGCATTAATTCTCATCGGAAGAACTAACACTTCGATTTTCTGCACGAAAAACGCCGTTTGAGTCCCGTCTGGGTAGCTCCGATCGGTTTTTAAAATTAATGCTCCCCCCGAAATCCCGATTCTGAGCCGCGTCAAGATGGCGGCTGTTGATTCCTCCGATACAAAAAAAAAAAGTTTTTTTTTTTCTTCCCAGCTAGACTGTGGGGGGAGGAGGGGGGAGTTGTCGCGCTATGACGCCCTGACGTAAACCTGTGTTCACCCGTGCGTCATGTGGACGTACGTGAAGTGGCCTCTAGGGGAGAAATAACCCCGAAAAAAGAGATAGAAAAAAGAAATAGAAATGTACCATGTTTCTGCCTGCTTTAAACTTCACAAGCACATCAGCAGTCACTACTAAAAATATAAAATGCTCACTTTAAGGAGAGACAAAAAAAAATAATCCAACGCATTATTGAGGTTAATATGCAAACGGCAATATTTAATTGCTTTATATTTATTTTATTTCTATCATGTTACCCGTGGTGGTGGACAGTAACAAACTAGATCTAAATTTAAGTACTTAAATTAGGTACAATTTTTAAAGTTGATTTAAAGGTTCAAGGGTATTTTTATTGCCATTTACAACGCTGGGTTGTGTTATGAAATTTAAATATAGTTCCCTTTCTGCTTCTTAAAAAAATAAAAAATAAATATTGATTAATAAGTCATTAAAAAATGCTAATTTGTGCGCTCAACGGCAACATTAGTCCTTTTTTTAGGCCATTTTATGCAACTTTATACTTCTACTCCATTACATTTTAGAGGGATATATTGTAGGCTACTATAATTATTTTACAAATGAAAATGTTTTATACAAAGCATATAATAAGCTTGTAAAATGGGAGTCATTGAAATATATTAAACTACTACCTTATAGTATATAAAGCAGTTACAATTGGCTCAACATTGTCCAAACACACAATTAAAATGCTGCTTACAAGTCAATGCATCAATAACAATAATGCAAAAATACATGATATATAGTTTTTGTTAAGTTGGGGCATCTACATTATGAGCACTCTTACCTTTGACGTTTGAAATTTTGCTAATAATACGGTTGTACTTTTACTCAAGTATAATTTTGAATGCAAGAGTTTTTATACTGTGCTACTGCTACTTTTACTTAATAAGGATTTTGACAACCTCTTTGTTAACTTCACATTATAGCGTCCCATCAAAGTCCCCAAGCTCATACATCATAGGCTACTTTCTACACAGATATACCATAGTCATGAGTAAGCTATTTATGTAGTTTGTGAAAATGTGTGTTTAAACAGCAAAAGCTGGATGAAGCCATACTGTGCACAGCTTCACGGTGCTGAGCCAGCTCCGACTGTCAACAAACTGAAAGAAATCATTAACAGGATAGGAGCACTGTACAAAAAAAATTAATTGAGTGGTCAAATTATTATTATTACCTGGTTAGCAGTAAATACCAGTGGTAGAAGAAGTATTCAGAGCTTTAGAGTAAAAGTAGCCATCACTGTAAAAATACTCCATTAGAAGTAATAGTACTCATATGCAGCATAACTGTCCTTGTAACTCTGTATATATTATTGGACTAATTGATGATTCACACCATGTAAGCAGTATTTAATGCTATCTCTGGTTTGAGTTCAGCTAATTGAAACAGCTTTATATTACGTTGGGTAGTATAATGTATAACAATGTTTCATATTTTATAATGATCTAATGTTTTGTATATTACATTTGAATCTAAAAAAGTACAGTTATAAGGCAAAGGAGTAGAATGGTATAAAACACATACTGTATAAAAAAGAAATATATATTTAAAGTACAAGTAACTCAAAGTAGTTGGCTACTTAAGAGCAGTACTAGACATGTATTTAGTTACAATCCACCACTGGTAAACACAGAACTGGATGTAGTGTGCAGCCTATAAATTCAACCGGACAACATTTTCCAGCAACAGACTTTTTTTTTCACTTGCATACCTATTAGTGTGCTATGTATAAAAACACTTTACAGTAACAGTTCATTTAAACTTGGTTGTTGCAGGCTACTGACAAACTGCCTACCTGCAGACATCTAATAGTGTATTGCTCATTTATGTATTGATTAAAGCCTTACTGGCCTAGCATGTCACTCTTTGAGATGATTAAGTTGACTAATGGTTCAGGTCACATTCCCGCTAAGATCAGAGCGTCCCATCGAAAACACACACAACCACACAGTTTTACAAACACTCGTACACTTTTTATGCACATGCAGGCGAAAGGAACACACAAGCATTATTCAAACATTGTTAAAATTACCCAGTTCTTTAGACTATTGAATACTCTAGTACATGCGTTTTTATAAATAATAGAAAATGCTCAGATACTATACAATATAAAGGCATAATGTACATAAAAAGTGAGCGCCTTGTGCAAATTTGTCCTTTCTTGAACGTGCACAACACAACCTGCTAATTAAGGAGGAGAGAAGATATAACGTAAGATGGCAATGACACTCTTTGGCATCAAAGATTTCTCTCTTTTTTTGTCATTCTGCAGCTTCAGAATGTCACTTGCATCTTGATAAATCAAACCAAATCGACATTTGAGCTCATGCTTGCAGTTTGCATCAAAATTGTGAGTTGACAACCCTCATCTCATTGTTCCTGTTAGTCCGAAATACAATACTAATCCAGACAAAAATGTTCAGAGTTCATAAAAAAAAACATTATTCAAAAGAGCTTATCAGAATTACAGAGGGGAGAAAAAAAGAAATGTAGCTTACACACTTTACCTGACACTAAAGTATCATATTAAGCACTTAACCTTGCGTAACAACAATAACTATTCTAAGTGTCCCTTTATTGTAGTATAACAAACACAAATTTTGGGCTTATACAAGGGTTGTGTGCTCATAAGCATAAAGAAAGTAATTTTCCCTTTCCAACAAATTATGTGAAACTCTTATTATTGCATTTGCAAGAACCCATGAGACCAATACATACGGCACACAATGGAAGGCCAAACAAAAAGGAATTCAAAAACTGCAATAAGGCTGATTGATGTCGACTGGTTTGGTATGTTTACATTTAATTGTATATATTAAGAAAAGGCACTGCTCAAATTTCATGACCTTAGAAAACGTCATAAAAAAAGTGTGATTTATGTGCAAAAGTAAACATTCTGTCTCCAGAAATTAAAGCAACTTAAAGCAGACAGTGAAAAAAAAAATCGAGGTTTAAGTTAAAAGGCACGATCTACCCTGGTTTCACACACAAAAAAAGCTTCTAAATATTGGGGTAAATGTGGCTGTTATTTGATGATAAAAGAAGGCAAATTGGTTCTTTGTTTTACTGAAATGTGCGTCTTGTTTGATTTATAACTTAAACGTACTGATCATAAAATTGTAATTGAAAAAATATGAAGTTAATGTGTTGTTTAGGATATTTAAAATGTAAAAAATAAGACACTGCTCAAACTTTTTTTTTGCCTCTGAGCACACAAGCCTTTTGCCAAGAAACAGTGACAGAGAGAAAACAGCAAGAGAGATGTACAGTTTAATCAGTTTGATTTCCTTAATAATCTAACACAATAGCATGAAATCAATGAAGTCAAAAAGAAAGAGTAAAAACACCTAGGGATTAATATACAATACATTTGGAGCACTGCCTTTGCTTTTACACTGCTATTACATTAAGTGTCATGCCATTGAAAAGTATGAAGCAGCTTAAGCATCCAGCTGTTTCCATCCAGAAATGTCTTTCAAATAATAGAAATTAGGGACCTTCACGTGAACAGTTCAAGTTTTGTGTAACAATAAATACAATAAAACACATTTGATTTGTGACATTCCTATTTTGATTATCCATGTCTTAAAAGCACTATTAACTAATACACAGTGTAATCCATAGCAAACCTAGGCAGTTGTTCTCTCTAAGCGATCTACAGTCACAGCTAAAGACACTCTACAGGTACAGCAGTGCCTTGTAGGATGCACTGAAATACTCACTTAACCCTGGATCTGGATCTTGAGGGGAAAGCACAAACACCACTAACAGTTAGCCTCATCTATGATGCTGTTTTTGCAAGCATGCTGATTAAGTGTAGCTGAGACCCTCGTGCCTCAGTACTGAGGCAATACAAAGATCTTAACCAAGGCCAGAGAAAAAGCTGCCACATCAGCAACCATTTTTATTTTTTTATTTTTTTTAACTACGTTCCTAAACTGTTTGTCATCCTGCAGTTTCACCAAGTCAGTCAAGTAACTCATCGGCACCTCTCCTCCTTAAGCCCTGCATGATCTTGTTACTACACAGACGTGTACAAACACACACTCACACACGCACACTGTATGCATGCAGATGCAGTCACACGACAAGCAGCTGGGCCTCATCTGCCCTTAGCCTGTATTGATTAGTCTCTGCTGTGACTTACATGAGGAGCTTTCTTCTTTTCATGAAGAACACGGAAACAGGCTCCACTGCGTTCTAGTACAGATTTTAATAACACATATCTTGGAGTAACATCTTATTTCCCTTCACTTGACACAGATTGTAATTCTTCTCATGTTGTAGCGCTGATGTAAATCAGCTTGTTGAGCTCTTCTTTGATAAAAGGCAAAATATCATAGCAAAACATAGTTTACAAAATAAAATTGTAACAAAAGCAAAGCAATTTCTCCAAAAGGTTTGCTTATTTACAGTTCCCTTTATGTTATTTTTCCTCGCTCAAAAAGGCTTAGTCTACACATATAATATAATATTCTATTCTAAAGGCACTTAAACGACATATGAAAAGAAAGAATTGAGATTAAAGGTGTACAGATAATCAAGTAAATTAATGGGAGATGATGGTATCTGTAGCAGGCAAGAAAAGGTTCAGAGACAGCCATCATATCTTCCCATTTCCTCTGTGAGTTCCTGCCTGACACTCACTTTACAGTCCAGCCAGCACCCTCCACTGATATCATCAGCCAATCAGATTCACACCAAAAACAACCTGCTGCCTGGCTGAAGCAGAGAAGAGGCCTGTGGGTGTTTCTCTCTTATTCCACCTGGGGTAGGACCAAATGTACAGCAATTCTACAAATACCAGCTGGCAGGAACAAGAGCTTAAAGGGTAAAGGATTTATGATAAAAGCGGCATTGTAACAGATCCTTAAAGTCTGGTTAACTCTCCAACATTACTGTCACAATCATCCTCACATTTGTTCTTCTTGAGGTCGTTCTGGGACACTGTTGTGGAATTTTGGGGAGTATTTTGCTTGGCCGAGGATGAGATGATGAACTGTTTGTTATTTGCAGAAGGAAGAGGTCCTTCTCGGTTAGTAACGGGCATAGATGTCATGCCACCATGAGACGTAGATTGCCTGGCATGAGATGTCTCTGAAGAGGGACGTCTTTCACGGCTGTCTGCCTCTTTGTCATGGCTAAGCCCTGTAGAGGAACCAGCACTGGCACTGGGTACTATAATATTGGTGCTGCTTGCATTTATGCTGGTTGCGGGCACCATGCTGGCAATTTCATCAGTAGGTGAGCGACCAATGCTACCATCCACCTGTGCCCGGATCTCTGGTGAGACTGAGAGTTGGTACTGAGGCACAGGGCCACTGTCACTGCTCTTAGGGTAAAGGAAGGTCTTCATCTGTCCTTTGCCTTTGACATTTACTGTGCCACGGTAATCAAACTCATAATCCATGCCACTGAGCACACAGTAGCTCTCCTCGCTGACCTGGACACGGCACTCCACGCCTGTAGTATCCATGCGGCTGGCGATGTTGACTGTGTCACCCCAGATATCGTAGAGAAGCTTAGTGGTGCCAATCACCCCCTGCTGTCAGAGGGCCATGATTGAATCCGATGCGTAGCTTGAAGCCAAAGCCCAGCATGTTCTTGTTGAAGTCGTCCACCACGTGCATCATTTCCAGGGCAAATTCAAAAAGAGCGCGGAGGTGGGCATGAGGATGTGCCGCATCTGCACACTGTTGCGCGTTGAGTCCTGCTGCTGCCATGTACGTGGCGCCGATGGTCTTGATCTTCTCAATATTTGAGAAGGCAGGCTTCCGTAACAGCTCATCGAAGTCTCCAATTAGCTCGTTGAGAACACGATAGCACTCCTTGCCTCCCTCGTAGCTTTCCTCATAAAACTCACTGAAGTTAACAATACTGGCAAATATTACACCCACATTGTCGTGGTTCTTGGAGTAGCTCTGTGTGACCTTCAGCTGCTCTGCCACATGGATGGGGATGATATTGCGAAGCAGCCAGTCAGCCTGGTCCCTCATATTCTGGATCTTGATGCGGTGTTTATCAGCCTCTACGTTGCCATGGTAATGCAGGCGGTGACTGACCTCAAATTCACGGTTAAGGAACCAGACTAGGAGAAGGAGCAGGAAAAAGGCCACGCAGGCCTCAGGGCCCAGCAGGTCCTGTGGGTTGAGCTGTGGGTCTGGGTCTGCTGGGCTATCAGACATGACGATTGAGCTGTTGCTGCTGCTGTTAGTGTTCTGACCATCCGCCCTTATGGAGCGAGAGAGAGAAAATGAAGCAAAAAAGTAATAAATATTTTCCTTCTCACAATAAATTTGGACCTTCTATAGCTGTAAGTAACCACCACAACTATAGATGATTTTGGCATGAAATCATGCAGCGCAACACAAAAGAGAACACAAAACAAGTTTACTGATTGGGTGATGAGCAGGTACAAACTGTGACACTAACAATGTTAACAATATTGATTGTACTTACCAGAAAAACAGACTCTTAGCAACACTGGAAGAAATGAAACGCTCTCGTTAATGCATCAAGTGCATCTAGAAATCCACCACTGTTCAGTGTATATAATATATATATTATCTCTACACTTTTTTTTTTTTAACACACAATTTAATCACGGCAATTTTTTTTTGGACAAGACATTGTGTTATTTCCTTTCTTTGTCTCTTTAGTAGGCCATACCTGCAGGGGGTGCTGAACAGCAAGGCAAGCAGCGCTAGTCCCACAAAAGTGGCTAGAGCTGAGCGCATCCAGTAGCTGAGTTGGCAGAAGTTACAGTACTGAATGATAGCTATGATGACAGCACAGCAGATGAACATGGTGAACTGGGGGAAAATATGGGACATAGAGTCATTAGTCAAAAGAGCCCATAAGACTAGCACATAAATTACACTGACTGTAAACTATATTCACACACTGTACAACTAAAAGACATATGCTGAATATAATTAAGCCAGAGATGGATATTTTACGAGGATGGCAGCCCTACAGACAAGGTGCTTAACAATTTGAATGAGAGAGAATAAATCTATGAAGACAGCAATCAAATAATTCAACATCCTAGTGATACATTTCTAAACATAGAAACATATGAAACTTAAAATTCCACCTGGATGGAGAGATGCATGTCACAGGTGACATGGGAGAAGACAGCCACAGTGGGCAGAGACACCAGGAAGGCCCCTATAAAGTGACGTGCTATCCAGCCTGAAATTGCTGTCATCAGCAGCCGAGTGCAATTCAGCACACTGTGCAGGTAGAAAGCCATACTGGAGAGGAAAAACAGGGAGCTGTGGTTGATATACATTATATACATATTATTATGATGTATCCGACATAATGTTAATGGAGTGTTTATCTGATACTTGTGATAGTGTCCCGTTTGACCCAAATCTGATCGCAACCCGAATAATAAACTGATTCCAGACATCAACACCTTGGCTTGTATTCACAAAGCCTCTCCGTGCATGAACTCAAACCAAGGGTCAGTAAATAAGACCTATTCATTTTTATAGATGAATGTGGATCTAGTATCAGGGCATCCACTTTGACATACTCCGGGCCTTTTTGCTCCAGGACCCTTATTTCTAATAATCGGGGGCTGAGTTTCCCCTCTCTCAGCTTTCCAACTATATACTACTTTAAATATACCTAGAGCTAAGCCCTCCAACAATATGCCCATGTGATTGTTATATAAACCCTTAACAACATTTTCTGACACATGAAATCTATTTTTCAAACAGAGTTGTCTGGTGACTTCTAAAACTCAAATAACTGTCAGAGAAAAACACACTTCCAGTCTTTTTAACAATAAATTTCATCTACATACACTCCACAGTTGAGTAAGCCGTCTTTCCCTCTCCTCTCCCTCATACCTTACACACTGCTAGCAGTCTTTTAAAAGAGCGGTGCTCCTCAAGAGTCCAGGAGATGCTCTCTCCTTGCAGATGAGACAGGAAGCTCCATAACTCCACAAAAAATTATTAACAGACCACCTCTCTTAAAACTGTCATTCCTACTGTCTCTAAACCACCAATTCTTTTGAGTTAAGTAATGAAAATTTTGGTGTAAATCACAGTGCAATTTGAATAAGACACCTACTCTAAATTCAGTATCTCACCGTATAGCAATCAGCAGAGCAACAGCCTCCAACAGTGTAGCTACACCTGTCAGTATGAGTGCTGGTGTGGACAGATTCTGCTGGGAAACAAGCGGTCGAAGGAAACAGGCCAGCGAGAGAGCCAGAAACACTAAACAGCACAGCAGCATGTCCAGGAAAGAGCTGAATGTTGGACTGGCAAAAGTCTGCACCATCGCTTGGGTTTCCACCTGGAAGGGGAAGAGAGAGGGAGAGAACAACAGACAGACAAATATATATAAACCAAAAAGTATGCAATATTAATAAAAATACAAATAGTAACTAAGACGAATGAGGGGTTAAGTTCCAAAATGAGAGTAAGGCATTAATGACAATTAGTCAGTGAAAATTGTTTGGAAATGGAAACTGCACTTCTGAGGTTACACCAGCAGAGGACATCACAACCTAATACAAAACTACTTTTAGGGTCCTGCAGTGATTTCTCTTTGCCGCAGTCTTGACCGGTCTGGTCATAACGCAGTGCAAAAAGGCTTCCCAGACAATACACAGACACACAGAGCAACAAAAAACAGGTAGAAACACACAGGTAGATTTCACTCCCACATATGGAGACAGCAGAGATGGGATAAATACGCTGAATTTCTCTTGTAAAACTCTGAATGAATGTTAGATCACAGTCAGACCAAAGACAACTGTGGTAACCTTATAGCGTTTGTGAATAAAGTCAAAAATAAACACACATATGCATGTACATACAGGTATACAGGCACCATTATGTCATGCACATAAACAGCTCATACACACATGCACACACACATATACACACCTCCTCCTGGTAGCTTATCCGGTAGGCAGACTCCAGGCTCTGCTCCAGGAAGGTGAGACTCAGCTTGTTTATGGGAGGTTTGTAAAAATAGTCCTTCATCAGGCTGTCACGGGCATAGAGGAAAGTCAGTTCAGTTAGAATTATATATGTTACTATTACTATACTACTACCACCTGTTTAAATGTTACAGGTTTTGTTTAATGTATCTATCTTAGGTCATTCTAACCTGTCCTCTTTGATTACATCCACAAAGTGAGCATCACTCCTCTCCCTGAAGTTCTTGGAGCGTAGAGGGATGAGTGCTGAGTGGTCCATGCCCATGGCTCCTCCACTCCACGTCTTCTTCTCCTTCTCCTGCAGCATCTCACACAGGGATGTCTGGCTGTTGTTCAAGGCTTCCAGCTGAGGACTGAGTAGGCCGTTCAGAGCCTTGGGGCCACGCCCTGCAGAAACCGCTGGGGAACACTTCAGATTTGAAGAATCCTAAGGTGAAGCGAGGGTAGAGAGAAGACCTGAATATCCCCAAAAAATTGAAGGTGTGATAATAGATATTTGCTTTGGAAACAGGTCAGCTATAATAAATAAATATAAAGTTAAGGAGTGTGCTACAGTCACACCAATTTAATTGCATGTGTCTGTGGCACACTTTATCTGGGACTCATGGAGTTCTACTTCTTTGAACTACTTTTGAGTCCTTCGTTTTGCTGCTGGGCCTGTGTAAATGTGTTGATTCACAATGCCCCAATATTTGATGGAGGAAAAAAAACACATAAAATATAATATACTGGACATTAATGGTGCCAAGCTCTTGACTTGATTGAGGAAACGCAAACAGTTATCATCAGTTCAACAGTTTAAAAGTTTAAAGTCTCATCTGTTTGGTTTGGGTAACAACACCAGGCTAACCTTGCTGCTGTTGGTATTGTGGTCATCATGGCAGCCATTGTGCACCGCTCCTTCCTCCAGAACCTGATCCTCCCCTGGTATCAGGACCACACTGCAGGATAGACAAGGAGACTGCAGGGAGGTAGAGGTTGCAGGGGGCAGTACGCAGGGAGATGCAGTATATGGGAGCAGGGAAGAAGAAAGAGAATGAATAAATTGAGAGGCACAGATCAAGGAAAGCACATGAGCAGAGAAAAACACGAAAAGATGGATTCTAAGTTATTGTCACAAGTCGTGGATTGCACTTATCATAATATTCTCATTTCAGACCATGCCCCTGTTTACTCTAAGCTTAATCTGAATCTTAAATAGGGAGAATTTAACTGGCAGTTAAATAACACTTTACTGGATAATAATATAGAATATCTGCCTCAAGTTTTTTCAGGTTTTTGCAGATTGTACCAAACTTTGAAGTTCTACATAAACATGACACCCTTGAGGCAGTTAAGGGGCAATCTATGCTTTCTATCAAATGCTTCATGATGGAGCTCTGATGAATAAGGAGGTGTATAAACGGGCATGGGCAGATCAGTTGAATATGGAATTAAATGATGAAATTTGGGAAGAATGTCTACGTAATGTGCAAATGTGTTCAGTTAACACAACCTATTACAGTTTAAAACACTCCACAGACTCTATTATTCGCAGGAAAAGCTACACAAATTTTTATCCTGATATCCCACCAGTATGTAACCGATGTAAATCCAAGATAGGTACTCTAGCACATTCTTTCTGGGTATGTAGTAAACGTCATTCATATTGGAAGTGTATTTCTATTTTTTTCTGAGGCTTTTGGTAAGAATTTGGTACCCAGCCCCTTGGTAGCGATCCTGGGGGCCACAGGTGTCCTTTCCTCCATCAATAAATTTGAAAGAAGAACTATTCAATTTGGAATGGTGAATGCAAAAAAGCTGATTTGACGTGTATGGAAAATGGATTCTGTGCCTTCATATAATTTGTGGCTGGGAGAATTGTCAAACACTTTACATCTGGAAAGATTGAGATTCTATAATGAAGATAGAGGAGACAAGTTTGATAAAACATGGGACCCGGTACTGAATTACCTTAAAAAATGTTCATAGACATTGGCTATTGTATAAAACCTCACTTTGCAAATGAGTATGTGACTTTGTATATGTCAAATTCATTTATTTTTTCTACTTTAAGATGTTTTTGTTTATAGTACCCATCTTAACTATGACCATGGAATATTGTTGTTGTAATCCAAGATGTGCTGTGTTCTGTATGTTATGTGATCTTTGCTAGGTGTACTTTTTCCTGTTTTTTTCCCCTCTCTCTTCTTTCTTTATTCTTTCTCTTGAAAATCAATAAAAATATTTCAAAAAAAAAAAAAAACACGAAAAGATGGCAGAGATCAAGATCAAGAGCCTTGGGGGATGACAAAATGACAAAGGAAATACGGAAAACACATGCATCAGCTGTGAATGAAACTTATCACCTAAACACAAATCAGGAATGTTGTGATAAGTGACCTTTGGCTAAAAATGATTCATTTCAATGAGGACAATACTAACAAGCATGGCAGAAGTCACTAAGAAACGGAAAAAGAGATGGAGAGTAAACAAGAGGCACAGAGGAGGTCTACACAGGCTCAAGGTCTTTATTTTCATCCCACTCATCCTCTTGAAAGAGAATGGAAAGTGTGAGTGTGCGTGTGATCTGTGTGATAGTTACACTGTGTCATGAATGACACTGACATGCGTAAATGTGCACTGAGAAGCCAAAACACACACCCTATACAGCATAATGTAAACACACACACTGTGTACCCAATGCTACATTAAACATGTTAACATTTGTAACCTGCCCTTTAAATACCTGTCACACATTCAAATGTCATAAAGCCTTTCTAAAGATACCTGAGTCTGATCTTTCAGCGCAACCATATCTGTATTTGTGTGAGAGCCATGCAGAAGATGTAAAGCTCTAAATGGAGTCATCAGTCGAAGGCAAGGAAGAAGGGCTTCCCGCCTCCTTGCTGGAGGTAGCTCATTACCATACCGAGGACCCCCACTGATTCTCCTGCCTCCCATCATCTTCTCCCTGCTCTTTTTCTCCTGCAAGTACCCCTCCCTCCTCCACCTTGCCTGGTAAAGATGGGAAAGATCTGTGCAGGGATTATGGGGTGCACATGTGTACAGAAAGGAGGATTAATTGGGGTGAATGAAAGGTACACTGGTGCGTGGTTTGGAGGGTGATTATAAGGAAGTAATGTGTTTGGTAAGTCCATGACCTAATGATAGAATTTGGAAGCAAATGAGAATTTCCCTTGAAGGCAGAGCGGATGGACATGTTTTCTGGGTTGGTGAGCAGAACATGATGATGGGTCAGTTATTTATGTAGACTGCCCACTGGGGAGAACAACACTTCTCATTTCCTAATTAATAAGATCTCACTGTTTTGTTCTCTGATTCTTATTATTAAGGATTTTATGGGAACTGAGGTGCTACACAAATGGAGACATGTACATACAGGCTCACCGAATGTTAACAAAGACAGTCAAACCACGCAGGGTGCCCAAGGTTAAAATCATGTAATGACATGGAGCAAATGGAAAAATTCAGATGCATGGTGATGACAGGGATGAAAGCCATTCTTTTTCTTTTTCACTTCCTCCACTTTAGACAAAAGGAAGCTCCTTGCATGCCAAAAATGAAAAAAAAAAGTTTTTTATTAAAGCTTCTAATACACCCACATAAACAAAAGTACACAGAGAGCGAAAAGATGAACATCAAAGAGGTTGTAGCAGAACATGCAGCCCAGTGTTCTTCCTCAGGCAATGCGATGAAAAATTACCTCAGAACTATACTTACTTCCTCCACAACATGGCTTATGTTTCATATCATTTTCTCGGCGATCGATAGCGTGCACTCACCGTAACACTGTCAGGAGGCAGGGTACATGCTGAAGGAGCTCCATCAGGTGTGTGCACGCTGGACGCAGGGCACCGGTTATCTGCATGCTCATCCCCAGCCAACCCCAACTGAGAGCAGCTACAGTGAGAGTGAGGCTCCACCTTCCTGCCAGAGATCAGGTAGGTCTTCAGGCCTGGAGAGACAAAAACATAAAGTGAGAGAGAGGAGGATATAACTGCCAGATCAGTTCTTACTCTCAGACAAAACTAGAACAGGCTTGGGTTTTAGTCATCCCTGTGCGGATGAAGGTATTGGTGGTTGTTTTAGGATTCAGCAGAAGCTCAGTAACCGCCAGTTGAATTCCCTCAGTGAATTATATTAGCAGGTTCTGGCATGAAACTAGAATCAAGGGAGGGAGAAGAAGCAGTGAATATCAATATCTCCCAGCTGTAGAAGGCATGGTCATGCATGAGTCATTCTTGTTTCCATAAACATACAAAAATATGATGTGTGGTGTATTTGTGCAGGATTTTGCATGTTCTTAACAAGAATCAGACAGATGCGCCAGAGAGAAAGAGGCAGTGCTAAAGAGACTAACACCATGACATTAACAGCCAACACTTCTCTCAAGGTCTACTGATTCATTTTGCCCACTGTCACCTCTTTTTCACCGTACTCGTCGCACCTTTTTCTCTGCCTAGGAAGCACACAGAAGAATTTCTGTATAGAAGCTCCTCCCATGTACCGCTACATGCATCCTACAGGTGTATGTGTATCTCTGTGAACATGACCATGAGACAGTAAAAAATCAAACACAAGAGTCAAGGGCCAAATATTTGAACATCTGCGTCCTCCTTCTATCAACACCATTATAATTTCCATCACTCCTACAAGGTATACATTTTGGCCCAAAATTCAACCTTCTGAACTGAGCATTTTGCCAAGTCTGGCAAGTCCATGAGTCCTTTTAATTGTTTAACTGCTTATAAACAGAAGGGGTTTCACTTGCCTTACAACATATTGTAGGATGCCTTGAAAGGCAGAAGTCTGTGTATTTCACACTCTCAGTAAGATTTCCTCTTTCTTTTCTACAGCATTAGAGCAGCGGGTCACCAGGATGCTACCACAGAGAAAATTATAATCACCACTGCAGACATATGGCCAACGTCCTGTTTGGGTTGTTGTTGCCAACTTTATCGCTCAGATACAGACATAGACAGTGATATAGACAGAGAGTTGATACACCTTTAGTGCTGAAACGCGGCCATTCAGTCCATCCTTTTGAGAACAAGGACACCAACCGTTCGGGACTCCTGTTCATTTTTTCTCTGTCTGCTGTGTTATGACAAGCCACAACAACAGTAACAGCTATCTGAGTGTGTGTGTGTGTGTGTGTGTGTGTGTGTGTTTGTGTGTCAACAGCATAGGTAACTACCTGTGACCATGTGCTTAGCCACATAATTTAACTGTCAGTGAAGCCACAACCTCAGGCTCTGAGCATTGTCTGCCCTAAGTACTTCAGACAGGCCTGCCACTGCCTTGCCTGTGCTGAGCCACCCTGGGGCTCCACTCTCTGACACACACACACACACACACACACACACACACACACACACACACACACACACACGCACACATACACACATTCACAGACACATACACATACACACACACACACTCCCACAGAGACCACACATGTGATACAAGGGTACACAGTCCCATCTGCAAGCACACACATGCATATTCAAGACTTATGCAGCTCAAGAAGCAGACAAAAAATAAGAAAATACACACAAAGAGACTGATGTAAACACAAGTGCAATCATGAGACGCTCAGAAAAAACACCCCCTCCAACCACCTACACACCCAGTCAAACACATATACACAGCAAGCGGAGGTGCAGATGGACGGCTTCACTGTAGCTGGGTCGATAGCCAGGTGGATGAGGATTCAGGGACGGGAAATGAGGGCGGTAAACAGCAGTAACAAAGAACTAATTCCCCGCACCAGTGATGCAGAATGGCACAGCAGCAAGAAGAGGTAGCAGAAAACTGAGGGGAGCTTTTGACTGCCTCTGAGAATGTGTGAGTGCGACTCAAAGACAGATCCAGAGGCACAGACACACACGACACACACTGCGTTGACTGATTTCATTAGTTTGCTAATCAAATCCTTCCCTGCCTGCACCATGACATACACTGACTTCTGCTTCTGCTCGTGGGTCAACAGGGTTACTTTTCCCCCTCCCTCTCAGTTCCTCTTCTCTTCTTCCGTCTTTCCTTCAATATCTCTACAAACAAAAACTGTGTAAGTACCACAGGTAAAAATACCTTCAAATTATGTATGTAAGGCAGCAAAGAAATGTCAAATGATGTCTCATTTTCCTCATGTCTATGGGTAGAGATTTGGTTTAGGTGTGACTTGTTCTTGTCTGTTCACTGTGATTTCTACAAGCCAGATTGTACGATTTGAGAGACAGTCACGTCTGTTTCGAGCTGAAACACACAAAACCACTTAAGTATGTGAGTCACACTGTATTATTTATTAATATATTTGGAATCACGATTAATGCAAATTCTACATCTGCTATAAAAGCAATGGTGCTTGCTGAGTAATAATAAAACTGTATAAGACGGGGACCAAGCCAAATCTACCTAAACAGAAATCACTGGACCATTCAGCCTCTATTCCCCAACACTGTAACAGCTTATTAAAGATAATGAAGCGTTTCAAGCTAGATAATATACACACCAACACATTATTAGAGAGAAAGGGTGAACGGCAGAGAGAGCAGAGAACATTTGATAGTGGATGAAATAATAATAACAGAATATTTAAGAAAACACACTTATAGGACAATTAAAAACAAGATGCCAGACATGAATACAAGGTAAGAAGAAAGAAGATGAATCTTTCAAAACAGAAGGAAACAATGGCAGGCTGATAGCTAAGGGGGGTGACAGGAGATCAGCTGTGGCCTGCCCTCTCAATCACTTCATGTTTGACTTACATCTAAATAAATGTGTTGCTGGCTTTGATTTCAGACACTGTGTCAGACTAAAGAAGAGAAACATGGGTCAACCTTAAAGACAGGAATCCATGGCCATCCCTTTTCCCAGGTTAATGAGGATGTATGTTGATCGATTGGTCACATCTTGTGGTCAGGCAGCTTGTTTCAGGGAAATCTCTTCACATGACAGAGCCCTGACAGCCAGACAAGAGCAAGATAAATTGACTTCAGGGGTTTGCAATTGCGCACATATATTATCCGTGTGTGTTTGTTTGAGGGGTTACATGAGTTCAAGTGGCTGCGGATGTTTGCACGCCTGGTCCTGGCCATTCTAGGATGCCCTCTCGTCTTTACGACCCAACCTTTTGCTAGCTGAAATTGCAGTGTTGTCAGACAGTAAATTGTGGCTCTGATAAACTGGCCTGACCAGCAGCTGGCTCCACCGTCCACTTCAATAGGGTCGAACATCAACAGAATACAGCTGCGCTCTAAAGACCTTGCGGAAGGGAAAAAGGTCAGGAAACTTCATGCTGTGTATCCCAATTGATGGCTCTTGTTTCTTTCCAGTTAAGTGTGTGTGTGTGTGTGTGTGTGTGTGTGTGTGTGTGTGTGTGTGTGTGTGTGTCTGAATATCCATCTGTTTGTCTGTGTACATCTGTTTTATGATCTGTGATACAACCAGGTACAGGCATTGGCCTTTCTCCATCTCCGTTGACCCTGGGCTAATTGAAGAGCATCATTAGTGGAGGCTTCTGGGCATTATGGGACTTGAAGTGTCCTGTCCTGTGCTATCAGCTGACTGGGAACAGTAGATAACCTTTCCCCATGAGAGCCCAGTCACATTATCTCCCCCTCCAAGCCCCTTTGTTCAGGACAGAGGAGAGCGACATGACAAAAAGCACTTTGCAAACAAATAACAGCATCACCTCTACTCCTCCCTTCCTCTCACCTCCTCATAGCACGTCCAAGCTCTTGTGGGACAATGGCCGCCCCTGAACTCTTCTTTGCACGATGCTTAGAGGGGCTTCAGTGCATACATACACAAAAAGGGTGGATGCAACACACAAGTTGTGACTGAAGTGGTCATTTCAGACATCACCAATATAACCCTCTACCGGCTCTGAGCATAGAGAATGAATTAGCTGGAATGCAAGCAACCAGGTACAAAAAGCTTGGCTGCTACACAGCCTTACATTGTTCTACGTACAACAGAGCACTCACAGAAGAAGGAATAAAAAATGGAATGCCAGAAAAGAAAAAAACTGAACCTTGAGATACACAACAGGCAATAAGGGAAATAGATCAATTCTGTTTTAAAAAAAACACATGAAGGCTACAGGTACAGTAGCTATGAATATGAAACTTTTTGGGCTTTTATCTCAAAGCAACACCTTTCGTTTCAAATTCCATTTGCAACCCAAGTGGGACCGAGCAGCCAATACTGCTGTCCCAGGGAGGTTTAGTAAAAGCTGCAGAACACAGAGGGCAACGGAGAGGGACAGAGAGTTGGCAGATATGCTTGGATCAGCTAACACACACACACACACACACACACACACACACACACACACACACACACACACACAAACAAATATCTTCCAATAATGACAGGTTTGCCTTCCAGGGCCAGGTATCGGAGCAGGAGGGCAGTAGAGCAGGTGGCGCAGAGAAACTAGCATTGCCATGCTGGGCAGCTCTCTATGCCAGTTGGCACTGCCAGCCAGCAGCCCCCTCCTTCTCCCTCCACTGCGTCGCCGTACTGGGATATACTGTACATCCTGTTCCTGTCAGGGGAAGAGGGCAGGTGGAACATGAGGAAACCTGTCCAGTATGACAAGCTGTTAAAAAGGACTTCATTACTGCGGCACGGCTAACAGAGGAGAGGAGGGCGAGACGAGAGCTAGAGATTGCAGAGATTTTGAGAACAATTCAAGTAGAGAAAGACCGGACTGAGAAAGAAATGACGGATAGATGGAGACCATGAGTTGGTTGGTAGTGGTGGTGGAATGAAAACATTTGTGTGTGCTGTCTGTGAGTGAACCCATTCAGTCAGAAAACATGAAAGACACATATGCATTTTTCATAAGGAGTCACAGAGGGACTCCAGCTGTCATTTCTGACAGTCAAGGAGAGGCGAAGAGTTTGTGCATGTTTCTCCCAAGCCAAGGACGGTGAGAGTGGG